GGACAGAAAATTCCTGTTCCAGCTGCTTGGCTGATGGTTGAGGCTGTGGGAATCTGAGGCCTTTTCTACCAGCCTTTTCAAAAGGGAGAGATTTGTACCTTTCAGACCCAGGAGACGTGTGTCAGCAGTGTTTGGGATTGAACCCTGTGCCACGGGTCCTTTTTTAGTTCTGGGTGATTGTGTTTGTTTGTTTGTTTCTCGAGACAGGGTTTCTCTGTGTAGCTTTGGAGCCTGTCCTGAAACTCACTCTGTATACCAGGCTGGCCTTGAACTCACAGAGATCCACTTGCCTCTGCCTCCCAAGTGCTGGGAGTAAAGGCCTAAAACACCACTGCCCTGCTTGGGTGATTTTTTTAAAAACTATGTTTTCGCTTTACTTAATTTGTCCACAGGGTACATGTGTGTGCGTGCGATGACATGCTTGTGGACATCAGTGAACAACTTGTGGGAGTGAATTCTCTCCTCCCGCCATGCTGACCCCAGGTCTTGTGCTCATTTCATCAAACCTAAGTCATAAACCCCTTTGCCCACTGAGCCATCTCTCCAGCCTCTTGGTGACTTGTGGTTAATGAACTTTTTTTCCCCATCAAGATACAAAATTAACATGGGAAAGAACTAGGACTACCAAGAGTAGAGACGCAGAATCCGGGCAGAGGCCAAGGATGTGAGACTCTGCAGGCAAGAAGGCAGGGCTGGCAGCTTCAGCCCCTCAGCTGCTGTTGCCTGCATCTAGGACTCAGCTTCTGGTGCCCAGTGGTTCTAGGACTGCATGTGTGTCATGACAACCTGCCGTTTGCCTGCCTCAGCCCTTCTGATGTGCGTGTGATTCCTCAGCGACATAGAGTTCTGGCTGCTCCTAGCTCCCCTGTCCCACTTCCCCTCCTTCCCTCACCAAACAATCTGCACAGTAATGTCTAAGAATGAAAACTTGCCAAAAAGCATTTGTGACCCAAATTTCTGCCCTAAGAAGAAAGAGCAGCCTGCCTAGCTGGAAGCAAACGGTCGAGCCCATCCGGGAAAGAACAGAAACAGCTGGTTGGCTCCATTTCTCCTGTGGCCAGCGTCCAGGCTCCGGGGCTGTGTGGGAAGGACTTTCACCCTTCACAGTCCTTTGTATGGCAGGGAGTGGGAACAGACATCTCTCTCTTCCTCCTAGGGTAAGCCCACACACCTTCATCCTTCAGATATGCACACAGCACCCACACAGATGTGAGAAGTCGAGAAACACACCTGGGGCCTCAGATGTTCCACAATAGAGCATTGTGTGAGGCCCAGAATGGCATTGACACGTGTGTGCTTGTGCGCTCCTTGGGGTGCACACAAGCCCTTTCCTCCCCGTACATACAGTTTCACAGGCCTACAACTCATCTAGTTCCCCTGTATTAGGCCCCAGAGTGTTAGATAGTGCATCTGACAGTTATTCCTTCTGTGAGGACCCCTGGGATGTCAGTCCTGACTTAGCAGATCCACCCTTCCGTCAGACTCCGCACCCCCGCAGATCCACTCACTTGTGCGCTCTGCGGATATTTACCAAGGGATTCTTCATTTGCTGCAGACTGTGCTAGGCACTGGGGAACTGGAAGAAAACAAAAGGAGTCCTTGCTCTTCTGTTGCTAACAATCTGGCAAGGGAAACGGACAGTAAACAAATGCTCCGTACACCCATGGGCCAGGAAGTCCATGAGAGAACAGTGCAGAGGAAGGGAGCAGAGTGACTGGCTAAAGTCTTTTTATTTGGGGCCATCATGGAAAGGCCCCGAGGAAGCAGCATTTGAATGGATGATTCAAGGGAGGGATGGGCCTTGAGTCTGGTAAAAGTTACCCGTGGCAGAGCAGACAGTTCACACATACAACCCCAGGCACTAGCATGCTTAGAGCAGCAAAGAGGCCACAGTGGGAGCACAGGAGATGAGAGCAAAGAAAACCAGAGGCAGGTCGTGCAGCGTTGGCTAGGACCTGGGGTTTTGCCCAGTGTGGTGGTGCACACCTATTATCCCAGCACTGCGTGGGTAGAAACAGGAGGATCTCAAGTTTGAGGCTGTCCTGGGCTACAAAGCAAGACCCTGGCTCAAAAACAAGAAAAGGGGAACAGGCCAGTGAGAGGGCTCAGCAGTTGCAGGCACTGAGAACCTGAGATCAATCCCTGGGACCCTCATGGTGGAAGGGCAGGATCAGCCTCCTGCAAGTTGTCCTCTGACCTCCACATGCATGATGTGGCATGTATGATGAATAAACTAATGCAATTTTAAAAACATATCTGGGTGGTGGTAGCACACACCTTTAATCCCAGCACTCCAGAGGCAGGAAGATCTCTGAGTTCGAGGCCAACCTGGTCTACAGTTCGACTTCCAGGACAACCAGGGTTACACAGAGAAGTCCTGTCTTAGAAAAAACAAAACAAAACAAGGATGCCAGAGAGATGGCTCAGCCGTTAAAAGTGCATACCACGTTTAGTTCCCAGTACCCATATCTGAGTTCACAACCACCTATAACCCCAGCTGCAGGGCATCCAACAACCTCTTCTGGACTCCACAGGCATCTGCTCGCACACATGCACAGAGACACATGCATATACACATAAGTAAAAATAAATCTTTTTTAAAATGAAAGAATTTGGGGTTGGTGTGTAATGGCAAGCACTGGAGAGTTCTGAGGTAAGGAGAGGGAGATGTGACAGACTTATATTTGCTAAAGGGGGGTTGGCTCCTAGGTGAAAAATAATGAGACAGGGCGGAAGCCAGAAGCCAGGTCTTAGAGCGCCGCAGTGGTCCCAGAGGGAAGCTGGTGATTTGGACTGGGGAGATAATGCCAAGTGATGGATTTGGGATAGTTGTGCTGTTTAGTCCAGGCTGGCAGTCATCTCGAGATGCTCCTACCTCATACTCCTAAATGCAGTGATTATAGGCACATGCTACCACTCTCGGCCAGAGTGATTTTTTTTTTAAATCAAGGACCTACCCCTAGACGAAGAGTTGCAGACAATTAATGGCTGCCAAGAGAAGGGGGAATTGATCTTCTCTAGTGATGAGCCCCAGATAAGTTATCCAATCCCAAGTGATCAGTCCTAAACACATAAGAGCAACACTGGGTCTGGATAGATGGCTCAGTGGTTAAGAGCACTGACTGTTCTTCCAGAGGACCACAGTTCAAGACCCAGCACCTACATGACACTTCATAGCTGTCTGTAACTCCAAGATCTGATACTCTCACTCAGACATACATGCAGGAAAAACACTAATGCACATAAAGTAAAAATAAATAAATTTTTTTAAAAAGAGCAACACTAATGGTCTCACTAAGTGTATTTTTGTTTGTAGTGGGAGGTGGGAATACTGTAAATACAGTACTCATGTATGAAATTCTAAGAAAAAAACTTAATTTTTTTCTAAGACAGGTTTTCTCTGTGTATCTTTGGAGCCTATCCTGGAGCTCGCTGTGAAGACTAGGCTGGCCTCAAACTCAGAGATCTGCCTGAGTCTCTGTTTACAGTCTATAAAGCAAGTTGCAGGACAGCCAGAGCTGTTACACAGAGAGACCCTGTCTCGAAAAAAAAAAAAAGAAGCAAAAAATAAATGAATTAATTTGTTTTTGTTGTTATTTTTTGAGATAGAGTTTCTCTGTGTAGCCCTTACTGTCCTGTAGACCAGGCTAACCTTGAACTCAGAGATCTGCCTGCCTCTGCCTCCCAAATGCTGGGCCTGTGTCACCATGCCCGACTAATTAATTATTTTTTTATTTTTTTTAAACTTTTCTTTTTTTAATTTATTTATTTATTATGTATACAATATCCTGTCTGTATGTATGCCTGCAGGCCAGAAGAGGGCACCAGACCTCATTACAGATGGTTGTGAGCCACCATGTGGTTGCTGGAAATTGAACTCAGGACCTTTGGAAGAGCAGGTGATGCTCTTAACCGCTGAGCCATTTCTCCAGCCCCATTAATTATTTTTTGAACATCTTCATTTCAGAGCTGAGGAAATAGCTCAGCCTGAGGACCTGAGTCAAATCTCTAGAGCCAGTGTGTCCAGCACGTACATGTAATCCTGGTGCTGGGATGTAGATGCACAGGTTCCTGGGGCTCAGACAGCCTCACCCAATCAGTGAGCCCCAGGCTACTGAGAGACCTGGTCTTCAAAAAAGTGTAGGTTGCCTAAGGAACAATTCCAGAGGTTGATCTTTGGCCCCCACACACATGTGAGCAGATGCACGCATTTACCTGAACACGAAGGCACACATGAACACACAGACATACACTGTAAGTCATAGGGCCTGAGGATGTAGCCTAATTGGTAAAGTAACTTGCCCAGCATGCGTGACACCTAGATTTTGTGTTCCAGCATTGCTAAAAAATATATATCTTTTTATCAGGGTATGGGACCTCATTCCTGTAATCCCAGCACTCAGGAAGCTGAGACAGGAGGGTTGTCATGAGTTTGTGGCCAGTCAGAGCTACATAGAGCTCCAGTCCTTTCAGGGATACATAGCAAGACCCTCAAAAAGCAATAATAACGATAATCCTCATGAATTAATTCAAAGAGATGAAGGAGGTTAGACTGGCAAGATGACTCAACAGGCCAGGGGATTTGTGGCCAAGCATGACTTGAGGCCAGCATGATTTTCATCCCAGAACCCAGAGGTAGGGGAGAACCAACTCCCACAGCTGTCCCGACCGTCACTCATATACCATGGCATGTGCATATGCACGAACACACAAAATGAATGAATACAAAAAAATATTTTTTAAAGAATAAATAACGTTATTGATTCATGTTTAATTACCAGGAATCTAGTGGGTTTTAACCGGGTTTTCCATTCTGAGTTCATTTGAACGGCTCATCTAATAGGTCAGTCCTATTCATATTCATAATTTTAATATATTCAGAGCCAGTTGAATGGGAACTGTAATCTCATCTGCAAACCTTTTTATCTTATTTCTTGTTGTTTTGTCCTGTTGAGGTTTCTCCTCCATCTTTAGGCACATATTAATTATACAAAATGGTGAATTCATTACATCTTTTTCCTTGCATATGGTGAACTTTGATCATATTTATTTCCCTGTTAGCCACATTTTCCCACACGTTTCCCTCTCTGCTTCTTTGTTTGTGAGATGGGCTCTTCCTCTGTGTCCAGGCTCACCTAGAATTCAGAGACTCGTGTGATCTACTTCAGTCACCCCAGTCACTGGGACCACAGGTAAGTGCCACCTGGCACCCCTCACCTTTATAAGTTAATCAATGAGTAAAACTCCATCACCTGCATAGTCCCGTCCCACTCAGGAGGATGCCAGGATAATACAAGATGACGTGTAACACAAAGAGGCTGGGAAACTTGGGGGCATGTAGGATCTTGCCTGTCACAAAAACTCAGCCTAAAAATTACCTAAACAAACTTTTTTTGGTCCTGAGTGTAAATAAGGTCTTGTGGGCTAGAACTGCAGCTCTGTGATAGAGTGCCTGCCTAGCGTGTGCAGGGCCAGGGCCAATCCCAGCGCCTGGATCCCAGCATTCTTTACACAGATTGTAGTAACACGCTTAATCTCACTTGTTTGTCCAGTTGGTTGATTCTCTTCTTCATGATTGCAGGGACTTTATTACATTTATCGCTGTGTCCTGTGCTTCAGCAGTAGATATGGATGGATGGATGGATGGATGGATGGATGGATGGATGGATGGATGGGTGGGTGGGTGGGTGGGTGGATGGTAGACCAAGGTAAGACAGCCTATTCACAGGGAAATGAACAGAATGGAAAAAGAAAAATGGAGTATAATACTGAGTTGCTGTACTAAGTTATCTGTACCTCTCTCACTCTCTCTCTCTCTCTCTCTGTTTGTTTTTTGAGACAGGGTTTCTTTGTAACTTTGTAGCACTCTTGGAACTCGCTCTGTAGACCAGGCCGACCTTGAACTCACAGAACTTCACCTGTCTCTGCCTCCCAAGTGCTGTGATTAAAGGTGTACTTACCTTTTATCTTTTTGATTTGGTTGGTTGGTTGGGTTTTGTTTTGTTTCCAAGACAGGGTTTCTCTGTGTAACAACAGCTCTGATTTTCTTGGAACTCACTTTGTAGACCAGGATGACCTCGAACTCACAGAAATTTACTTCCTCTGACTCCCAAGTACTGACATTAAAGGTGTGTACCGCAACCCATCGGCTCTACTGAAAAAAAAAATTATTTTATGTAGCTGGGTGGTAGTAGCACACGCCTTTAATCCCAACACTTGGGAGGCAGAGGGAGGCATATCTTTGTGAGTTCTAGGACAGCCAGGACTGTTACACAGAGAAATCTTGTCTCAAAAAAAAATTTTTTATATGCATGAGTGTTTTGCCTGCTTGTATGACTGTGTACTCTTGGAAGCCAGAAAAGGGCATCAGATCCCCTGAGACTGGAGTTACAAATGGTGGTGAGCTGCCTCATGGGTGATGGGAAACAAGTCCAGCTGCCCTGGAAGAGCAACCAGTGCTTTTAACCCTGAGCCATCTCTCCAGTCCTTTCTTTCTTTTTTTTCTTTCAAGACAGGATTTCTGGGCTGGAGAGATGGCTCAGCGGTTAAGAACATTGCGTTCTCTTCCAAAGGACCCGAGTTCAATTCCCAGCAACCACGTAGTGGCTCACAGCCATCTATAATGAGGTCCGGTATTCTCTTCTACTAGCCTGCAGACATATATGCAAACAGAATATTGTATCCATAATAAATAAATAAATATTAAAAAAAAGACAGGACTTCTCTGTGTAGCTTTTGGAAGCTGTCCTGGAACTCGCTCTGTAGAACAGGCTGTAGCACAATTAACAAGAACCCAGAGGCAGATATAGGGGTTCAACCTGAAGACCAGAAAAACAAAGCAGCCACTGGCTCTTATCTCTACCTAAGTCCAAAAGTGACGATCCCGCCTCCAGGAATCCTCAGAATGAGACTGAGACTGAAACCTGTCTCCTCCCGTTTTTTATTCCTCTCTAGTGCTGGGATTAAAAAGTCATGCACCACTGCTGCCCAGTGCCTGTGGCAAACTAGTGTGGCTACTGGGATTAAAGGTGTGTGCCAACATTGCCTGGTCTGTATGGTTGATCAGTGCAGCATTTTTGCTCTCTAATCTTCAGGCAAGCCTTATTTATTAAATACAAATGAAACATCACTGTATTTCCCCTTTTGTCTTAAATAAAAAAGAGGGCTATAACTATATACAATAAATGCAATGACTAGGGGGTAGTGGCGCACACCTTTAATCCCAGCACTCAGGAGGCAGAGGCAGGCAGATCTCTGTGAGTTTGAGACCAGCCTGGTCTACAAGAGCTGGTTTCCAGAACAGGCTCCAAAGCTACAGAGAAACCCTGTTTTGAAAAACCAAAAATAGATGATAGATAGATAGATAGATAGATAGATAGATAGATAAATAGATGCATATATATAGGTAATAAATACATCAACAATGTCAAGTCCACTTGCATTTGACAAATTTAGAGAAAATACTCCATATCTATCTTAACTTGGTGAGTTTAAAGTCTTGTACCTAATTTAATTTCTATCATAGCTTGTTTTCTACATCAGGTAAACAAGGAAAACTATAACTATTTAGTCTTCAACCCCCTCAGAGACCCAAGAAGGAAATAATATATACTGAGTAAGCAGGAAGTGCAAGCAAGAGACTTCCAAAAAAAATGTGAGAAATGACAGAAACAGCTGGCTTCCTGGACAGTCACCCAAAATTCCTCTGCAATGATGGGACATCCATCTTCAATCTACCAGCCTAGCATATCTGACAGACTTTTCTGTGAACCAGGATATTCTGGAGGGCATCCATCTTCAGACTTCAGGCCTAGCATATTTCTGAAGGGCTAACCCTCCTTGTCTTAACAATGTTTGGCACTTTCTTTTGTGTCCTGCTTGTCCAATTAGGACAGCATACTGCCAGCACTCGGGTCAAGGGCATTTGCTTGCCCAGTGGTTTATTTTTGCCACAAAGAAAGTAAACTCCATGTGGAGTTTCTTCGGTACCCATGATCTTCTCTAAAGTAGATTGGTGCTGCCAGGAGCAGACATGTCTCATTGTCATACAAAAGAGCCTATGTTGTTAAAACATCTGAAATGTCATATTCTGTAGACCTCTGAAGTGTTTGAAGATGACCCATCTATCTAAAATATATCTTTGTTTGATCTTGAAAACATACCTAATGTGACTACAAGTTTGATTTTAATAGGTGACTGATTACTAACCTGCATTTTCTTATTATCCTAAACAGTTGGTAATAATATTTTAAAGATTAGAATTTGCATTACCTTGTTAAATGAGCTGTATAGGTATGATGCCTTGAACAAAATTAGATTATGCATACACTATGTTTTAACAAAAATAATGTCAAATTTGTATCAGTATACAAAATTTGTAAAAAAAAAAAAAAAACTATACAAAAGTCCAATCTAATGTAAAACATTTCAAACTAGAAGTTGATTTTTTTTTAAATTTAACTTACTTTTATGTGCCTTGGGGTGAAGGTGTCAGATCCCTGGAGTTACAAGCAGTTGTAAACTGCCATTTGTGTGCTGGCAATTTAATCTGGGTCCTCTGGAAGAGCAACCTGTGCTCTAACTGCTGTGCCATCTCTCCAGCCCCAGTAGTTGCCTTTTAAAAGTATATCTACCTTTTTATCTTTATCTATATCCTCCCTTTATTCTTTTCAGAGTAGATTCAATAATCTACTATCATATCTATATCCCCCTTTTTTTTCAAAACAAGAATCTTGAATCTAATTTCCTTTGTTTAGCTTTTTTTCTAACCATTATCAATATCAATATAACCAACACCCCCTAAACAATGACAAATATCTATAATCCATTAAATGACCGAAACCACGAACCCACCTCTTGGGAATATGGATGTCATATTCTTACATTTACTTCCTGCTATCTGGAGGCAATGGTATCTTTAGGGGATCCTGAAAAGAAAAATTTAGGTTAATTATCAAGTCCTGGAAAAGGTAGCTGTATCGTTTGTTGTTCATTCTATGGGTAACGGAAAGTACAGAATTTGTCTTAGGTTCTGGCTAGAGTAGTCTGCTAGGCTGGCTCATCTCAGCTAGCCACCTCGAAATTGTTCTGAGCAGTTCGTAGTCCAAAGCCGATCTGCTTCTTTGCAATCATCTGAATTGCATCCTGTGAACCAGGTGGAATCTTTGTGACCCCATCTTCTTCCTGGAGACTTCAGAGATTACTGTAGGAAAATTTATTGTTCACTGTAGAAAACTTAAAAATTATTCATATCAAAACAGAAAGTTTAAGCTGGGTGGTGGTGGCTCACGCCTTTAATCCCAGCACTCGGGAGGTAAAGGCAGGCAGATCTCTCTGTGAGTTCGAGGCCAACCTGGTCTACAAGAGCTAGTTCTAGGACAGGCTCCAAAACTACAGAGAAACCGTGTCTCAAACAAACAAACAAACAAAAAACCAGAAAGTTTAGGCCGGGCGATGGTGGCGCAGGCCTTTAATCCCAGCACTCTGGAGGCAGAGGCAGGCGGATCTCTGTGAGTTCGAGACCAGCCTGGTCTACAGAGCTAGTTCCAGGACAGGCTCCAAAGCCACAGTGAAACCCTGTCTCAAAAAAAAAAAAAAAAAAAAAAACC